CAGAAGCAGAAATTAGAATSGGATTTGAATGAAAAATGACAGGTAGGGGAAGCAAGGACATGAAATCTCTTCAAAGTAGAGGCATTAAAGCTTGCAGATGCAAGAGATGAGTCATTTGAAAGATATAAAAATGGCATAAATCAAAATATTCAAAATATAGTAACCATTTTATGGGTCAGAATGTCAAGTTGGGATGTGATGTTGTTGTTGAAGCTGACTGGGAAGAGAGAGCTGAGTGCCTGGCTAAAAAAGCGTTGTCTTACAGCCAGCCATCAAAAATGAAAGGAAAAACAAACCTAGACATTAATGTAGGCAGGCAAAGGCAGGCTGGGAGCAGAAAAGCAGATCTGAGCTCCATCTCACTAAATAGGACAACCTGTGGGTAAGAGCAACCACAGAAAAGGTACAGCAACGAAAAAAGGCAAAGGAAATGAAGGAGAATGCATTCCAAGCCCACAAAAAGAAAAAAAAAAAAGGAGGGGGGAGAATTCTCTGAGGCTGAATGGTCAGGAGAAAAGAGACACCAGAGTGAGGCTGGAGGCATTTTTAAGGAGAAAATCAAAGTTAATAGCACTGATCTTGATGATGTAAATCAGGATTTATCAGCACTGGTTCTGGCTTTGTGTTGGCAAAAGCTGGGAAATAGCAGTTTGGTGGAATGTCAAAAGGTGAGGGCAGACTGTGAGAGACTCCAGAAAATCCTGCAGAGAGCTGGGAGCTCAGGATGAGCAGCAGCAGAAAACAGGTTGGATTTTATTTATTTTTGTGAGGCAAATGAAACCAAAGGGGAGCAGTCAGGGAAAAAGGAACACAGAGGTCAGAGATTGGATAATGTGGGGTCACCAGAATAAGCTGAGGGTGGGAAGAAGAACAGAATTCAAAACTCCCCAGTCCCTGAAACATGGAAAGAAGTTGGAGAGGTGAGATAAAAGCWTGGAAAAGAAGTCAAAACGAAAGCTCCAAAATTATAATGGCTGTTTTCCTAATTCTCTGCAGCAGTTTCTTTAATTTCACATTGTGCCAGGTTGTGCCTTGCACACTGACACTCTCCCACCTGGGCTGTGTCCTGAAGAACTCACAAATAGAGAATTTTAAAAGCACAGAGCCCTCAGTACAGTGCCTGCTGCTGGCACCCAGCAATCCTGTTCAGCTGTAATTAAACTGGAGGCACTTTATTTGCCCAGACACTGCTGGTTAATGTTATCTGTTTGCTCCAGAAGGTGTTTTCCATTTCCCCATCTTTCTCCTGCGAGCAGACAATGCCTAACCAATTTCCAGGAAGCAGTCTTTTTTTTATTATTATCACATTATTATTATTTTTTAAAGCAAAAGGGAGAGGCTGAGAAGAACAAATTATTTAAAGTGTGAAGGTTTTCACCATCCCTGGGAGAGCCATTCCAGCCCGATGCCTTGGGACTGTTCAAACCTCTCTCCAAACAAAGGCTGCTGTGAGTGTAAATCTCATTATCATACAACAGGCCTGCCTGACCTGCCKTTGCTCCTGGGTGAAGTGATTGAAATGTAGACAAGGTCCAGTAGAAAAAATAAATTTTCATTAGTCTGACAGGCTGGGATCTAAATGGCTGCAAGTTTTGGCAAGGGAATTTCATTCTACCATCATTCTGAAGCCAAGCTGAGCCCATCTTCAGTTTTGAAAAGCTGAAAGGATCCAGGCAGAACTTTGAGCTGGGAAATGGGGTGGGGATGTCAGGAGAGGGCCCTGATCARGACTCCATTGCAACAGCCATTCTTCCTTTTAGGATTCTTTCAGCTGTGCTTCACACACAAACCCCATCCCTGCAGCAGATCTGGCAATTACTGGTTTTTCCAGGGTGAATTTCAGCATCCCATTTTCAGTTTTGACAGGTAACAAACCATTGCAATGTTTCTAGGAGCTATCAAAACACCCTTTTCAATTGTCACTTGGACCTTCACAGAACCCCAGGGCTGGTGGGAGCCCATCTCAAACAAATGCCCTTTCCCTGCACTACAGAAATTCCTAAATTCAGAAACCCTAAACTGCTGAAAAGGGAACATTAAGCAGCAAATCCTCCCACACCAGGGAGCCCCATCCATCACGTCTGAAATCTGTCTTGCACAACCCACTCAGCAGAAGGGGAAGATGCATCCAGTTTGTACCAGGACCATACAGTTCCCATAAAAAGAAGGAGCAAGATCCTTTTTTTTTGAGGATGATTTGCATATTTTGGAGCTGGGGAATGGCATCCCATGAACAGCCCTGAGCCTTTTCAGGAGCATCCCTGCAGAGCCAGCAGCTTTTGCAACAAGTTGTGAAGAGCAGCTTTGGAACCAGGGAAATCCCAGAATGGTTTGGGCTGGGGAGGAACCCTAAATCTCATCCAGTTCCAACCCTGACACCTTCTACTATCCCAGGGTGCTCCAAAAACTGTCCAGTCTGGCTTTGGACATTTCCAGGGATCCAGGGGCAGCCACAGCTTCTCTGGGAATTCCATCCCAGCCCCTCCCCACCCTCCCAGGAAACAATTCCTTCCCAATATCCCATCCATCCCTGCCCTCTGACAGTTTGAAGCCATTCCCTGTATCCTGCCCCTCCATCCCTTGTCCCCAGTCCCTCTCCAGCTCTCCTGTATTCCCCCTTCATGTACTGAAAGGCCACAATCAGGCCATTCCAGAGCCTTCTCAGGCTGAAAAATCAGCCTGAAGAATCCCCTGGATGTGGAAATCCACGAGTTTCTCCTGCCTGAGCATGGACAGCTTTGAAATTAGAGCTCCTGTGTGAATATAATTGGATGTTATTTGTTAGGGGGAAAAAAACAAAAACATTTCTGTCAATATTCCAGGTTTCTGCTGGAAYTCTCCAAGYTCAAGGGAATGCAATAGAAACCAGYTCTCATTCCCAGGCTGGTGAATGCCACGCTCCTGACAGGGCATCCTCCCTTCCCAGCAGTTTCAGGAAATTCAGGGAGAGCTGGAATCCAGTCCCTTCTGAGGCTGACACAAGGGACAGACTCTCACACAAAGGCTCAGTTCCACCCTCAGAGTTTGGAGAAAACCCAAAAGCTCAGCAGGATCTAAATCACAGGTGAGGCACAGGATGGTTCCCTGCACTCTGAACTCAGGATTTGTTCCATGCTGGGGAGTGGAAGCCACGTTTCACCACTCTTAGGTTTAATGGGATCCAATAAAGATGCAAATTTCCCAAACAATTAAATATACATGCCAAGTGGAGCTGCAGCCAAGCATATTTTCTCATTAAACCCCTCTCGTTGTCTCCAAGCAGCGGGCTGGGCAGGCTTCTCACACAACTGATGTGAAATGGTGAATATGGGTGGTGTGGGCTGACTGAGGGATTTGTTTTGTGRGCCCCCAGTTCTGCTTTTCTGGCTCAACAAAAGGATGCTTTCTCCCTCTACAGTCCAGTAAAAAGTCACTCAATGTTCCAGTTTCCAAAGGGCAGCAATRCCTGCTTGCAAAAAGCCACCGTCACCTTTGATCCAAGGACACGTTTTTGCTGAATGGATTGGCAAAAAAATATTTTAAGCTCGTGCCTGTGAGAATATGGGTCACCCTTTGTAAAATGGGTACATTTGGATTTGATTTGTGGGGTTAATAAATCATTAATAGATCTTGTGGGGATAAGCAATCCACATTTCAGATGGCTACAAGCAATCCATTAACCTGCTGGACTCCTGCAGCCTGTAGGAATTAACCATTTCTGGAAATGGTTGGAATAAAAATGARCCTTTTCACTGCTTTTTTACCATGATTGAAAACTGATCCTCTATGGAAAGGGTATTTCTAACAGCAGGTACMATTAGGGAAGGAAAAAGAAAACTCCTGGCTCCAAACTCCYAGATTCTTTGGATCCTTTCCAGGGTATGGAGCAATAATTGAAACTGCTGTGCTTCAATTTCCTCATGTTTACACTGGAGCTGCCTGGTTGCCTCACTCATGGCAGAGTTCTTTGTTTGTACTGTGGGATGGGATTTTCTTGCAAAGCATGATTCACCTGAACACAATTTTTGCTCGCTCACAATCACAGAATCATGGAATGGTTTGTGTTGGAAGGGACATCAAAGCTCATCCAGTGCCCCAGTGTCCCTTGCCATGGGATTCCCACTGTCCCAGGGTGCTCCAAGCCCCATCCAGCCTGGCCTTGGACACTKCCAGGGATCCAGGGGCAGCCACAGCTTCTCTCCCCACCCTCCCAGGGAACAATTCCTTCCCAATATCCCATCCATCCCTGCCCTCTCAGTTTGAAGCCATTCCCTGTGTCCTGTCCCTCCATCCCTTGTCCCCAGTCACTCTCCAGCTCTCCTGGAGTTCCTTTAGTCACTGGAAGGAGCTCTCAGGTCTCTTCTTCAGGCTGAACAGCTCTCTACTCCAGCCAGTGTTTTTTTTTTCAATTCCCATTAGTTTTTCGAGTGAAATTATCACTCACAAATGCTTCTTTCTGAGCTCTCCATTTGACAAAACGTGCCTTACATAATCAGAGTCAGCAGTGAATCCCAGCCACAAGGTATCTTTGGTCAAAGGCTTCAAATGTCTTTAGACCAAATTTTTTACTTCTGAGGCTGCACTTGCACTCTTGGGGGTAGTTCTGGGTCCCTCATGACAAGAGGAAGATTGAGGGGCTGGAGCATGTCCAGGGAAGGAAATGGAGCTGGAGAATGGGCTGGAGCACCAGAAGCAGTTAAGGGAGCTGGGAAAGGGGCTCAGCCTGGAGAAAAGGAGGCTCGGGGGGGGACCTTGTGGCTCTGCACAACTCCCTGACAAGAGGGGGCAGAGCAAAGGGCCTCAAGTAGCACCAGAGGAGGTTTAGGGTGGATATTGGGAACAATTTTTCATGAAAAGGGAAGTGGAAGAGTCCCCATCCCCAGAAGCGACTCTTAGTGCCGAGCACAGTGGTGGCTCTGACTGACAGCACAACCCAATGACCTCAAACACCTTTCCCAACCACACCAACTCCGTGATCCCATGACTTTCCAGAGGCTGCTGAGCTGGAATGTGAGACTCACGTCGGGCATGATCTCGATCTTCTCGTAGCGGCGTTTGTAGGGCAGCGTGAGCACCTCGGCGCGGCGATAGGACATGGCCGGGGGCTGGCAGTCGATCATCAGGTCTGTGCGGTGTGACTGCGTGGGAGGAGGCTGTGTGTACTGCTCGGGGCACACCACGTGCAGRGGCTGCAAAACAGCACCAAGAATTCCCATCAGCACTGGGATAAACTGCCCAAGGAGTAGGAGATGAGTGCAGCAGAAACCAGCTCGGAATTTGTGTCTTTAATCATCACTTCGATATTGTAATTGTCACAAGGGGAGAAAAAATAAAAATATGAAATAGCTTTTTCTCCCCTTTTTCTCCCAAATCGTTGCCAGATAAACTGGAAGCAAATTCCCAACAGCACCGGGATAAACTGCTCCAGGAGCAGGAGTTGTGTGCAGCATTGTAGCAGCGTCCAGGACACACCTGGAATTTGCGTCTTTAATCATCACTTTGATGTCACAGCTGCCACAAGGAGAGAAAAACAAAAAAAAATTGAACAGCTTTTTCTCCCAAATCCTTGCCAGATAAACAGGACGCAAATCCCCCTCAGCACTGGGATAAACTGCTCCAGGAGCAGGAGCTGAGTGCAGCAGACACCTGCCTGGAATTTGTGTCTTTAATCATCACTTCGATATTGTAATTGTCACAAGGGGAGAAAAAATAAAAATATGAAATAGCTTTCCCCCCCTTTTTCTCCCAAATCCTTTCCAGATAAACTGGAAGCAAATTTCCAACAGCACCGGGATAAAGCTCTTCAGGAGCAGGAGTTGTGTGTACCAGACACCAGCTCGGAATTTGTGACTTTCACCATAACTTTGATGTCACAGTTGCCAAAATGAGAGAAAACCAGAAAAAATTAAATCGCTTCTTCTCCCAAGTCCTTGCCAGATAAACTGGAAGCAAATTCCCGTCAGCACCGGGATAAACTGCTCCAGGAGCAGGAGCTGAGTGCAGCAGACACCTGCCTGGAATTTGTGTCTTTAATCAGCACTTTGATATCGTAATTGACACAAGGAAAGAAAAAATAAAAACATGAAATAGCTTTTTCTCCCCTTTTTTCTCCCAAATCGTTGCCAGATAAACTGAAACAAAATTCCCATCAGCACTGGGATAAACTGCTCCAGGAGCAGGAGTGGAGTGCAGCAGAGATCCGCCTGGAATTTTTGTCTTTAATCAACATTTCGATACCATTGATGCCTGAGTAATTTTTTTCCTTCTCTTTTTATGTACCTTTTATATATCTTTTATACCTTTTTAAACCCTTTGACCCTTAGCCTACATACTTATAATTCTTACAGTGTAATTTACTAACTYAAGAATTCTGCCAAGCAAAAAACCCAAACATCCTCAATAAAAAGTCAGCGTGCCCTGTACTATCTTAAAACCTAAAATTCTAACCTCAGTTAAAATCTTCTGTCTAAAACATGTTGTGTAAACTCAGACCTCATAAAAAATCTTTAAAATAAAAATAATTACTTTATTTGTTAAGTTTCTTATTAAAAAATTCTAAATAAATATACTAAAGCTCCAAAGAATCAAGGGCACCAGCAGATACTGTGAAAACTTTTTTTTTCCTAAACCTCTCCTGAAGCAGAGCTCAATGCTCTGTCTCCTTTCTGGAAAAAAGGATCTGGGTGTTGTCTCAATTCTTGTTTAATGTAACAGTTGCTCCCAATCCATTTATTTATTTTGGCTTTGTGAAGAAACGTAAGGAAAGGCAACAGAAAATTCATTACCTGGACTTCTTTGAGTAATTTAGACACCTGAATAAAATTGAGTCTCGTGTCAATGGGACAGTAAACACATTTCATTGCCAAGGGCTGATAGGGAGCCAGGGCATCCAGGTAAGAGAAATCAGGTTCTGGAAAGAGAAATGTAGAAACTACTCAAAGCCCATTAACTACAAAGATGTCTCAATTCCTCTCTGATTCTAGTTTAGACAGAGCTGCTGCTCAATCTTAATTCTGTTACAGATTTCTCTTCCTTTCCTCCTTCCCCCACCCATTATTTTCAATTAATTTGATGAAAATTACACCCACAATTAGTCTTACTTTAATCAAGCAATACTATTTCATTTGAACACATTATTGCGTGATTTTTTTAGAACAAATTTAATGAAGACAAAAACATCATCTCTTATTTTTGATCAGATCCTGCAAAGGAAGGCAAAATGTAGGCACTTGGGTCTTGTAAGGTAATCCAAATGGCAAGCTGTTTTTCACTATGATAAAAATGCAGTATAAAGATTGTATCTTGATATATAAATATATAAATTTATTTATTCTTTTGAATCTAAGAGCCAGGATTAGACTGGTGGGGAACCAAGGGTCCTTTTATTGCTGGATTAGAAGTTTGCCAGGAAAAAGTCAGGCACTGAATGGGTTTTAACTCCCACAGAGAGTAATAAAACATTGAGAACACTGCAGAAAAAGACTTTTTTTTTTTTGGTTGTTGAATGACAAATGTAGATCTCAGGTGACACGGTGTAGAACACAGGTAACCTCTTGATTCTTAGGGTCACTAACTAAAAGATTATGACATCCCTGTCTCCCACTAATTGTGGGGTGGATGGCATAAAAGAAAAAGAACTGGTATTAGTTGGATAAGAATGGAAAAAAGAGAAGGGGATGCATGAAAGCTTCATCTCTGGATTATCCTGAACCACGGGGCCTCAAAGGACAACAGGCAGAGAGTGAAGTGCAGTTCAAGCCTGCCTGAAAAACAGCAGGAGGAATTTCTCTGGGACCTGCTGAGGCTGTGAAAGGATGAACATAAAGGAAAATTCAATTCAAAGTCTCCAGTCTGGATTTAAAGAGCCATCCAGGATGTTCTGAGACAGCAGAGAAGAGCACTGGTTGGATTTCTCATGCAGACAGCAAGAAAAAACCTCCTTCAAACCTTAMCAGAGGAAGTTCAGCACCAGAGTGACATCCAACAAAAAGACAAGTTAATTGCTCACCAAAAAATCTAAAAATTTAAAAATCTAAAACTCTAAAAATCTAAACATCTAAAAATCTAAAAATTTAAAAATTCAAACATCCAAAAACCTAAAAATATGAACATTTAAAAAGCTAAACATATAAAACTCTAAAAGTCTAGAAATCTGCTGCTGGCTAAGCCCCACTGAGCACAATGTGGGAATATTTACCCTGAGAGAACAGAACATGGCACCAGGCAATGATACAAATGTTTGGAACTGTCCAAGGGATAATTTTCCCAAATTTAAAGCAATTGTCAGAGTTGCTGTCTGGGAATGTTAAAGTGAGAGATATTAAGGAAAAATGAGAGTTGTACAAGGATATGTACATGAAGCCATGAATYTAAAAACATGAAATAAAAATTACAGTGGGCAAAAAGCCATTTTAGTTAAAAGCAGATGTGGTGGTGGCAGTGAAACAAAGCCTAAAAATGTCRATGTGAAAATGGTATTTTATGTCAGTGAAGTTTAATTGAAATGAATAGAAGTTTAAAAATAGAAATACTGAGAAAGTTTGTAGTTGAAGAATGATCAGTGATCAATTWGGGTTTAAATCTGAAGGCATTTTAAGTCACTAGGGAGAAACWGAAAGCTTAGGTCAGGCAGAAGTTYTTTGCTAGAGATGTGCCACAAAATTGCCAAAATTAAATTTAAAAAGTTATCAGAAGGGAGATTTTCCATCTCATCTGGGGTTGTGGAGGACACAGAGATTTGAGGCAGCACCTATTCAGCATTTCTGAATCAGTAGGTTCAGATAATGAACAGAGATGGAATTTTGATCTAGAATCCCATGACAGAATCCAGTCCAAAGCCTCTCTACACCACTAATAAGGAAATAAGAGCCTTGGAAAAGTGAGAAATTCTAATGAAGGAATTCTAACGTGGGACTTGGAAGATTTAGAACGTTAAAAACACAATTTGAGCTGGGCTCCCWGGGAACTCATGTGACACACAGGAACTGCTGTTTTGAAACCACCCAAAATCCCAAAGTCACCTGTCTGGAGGCAGAAAGTGCTTGTCAAGGACACATATTGACTTTTCCTGACAGAATTACACGTCTTTAGCTGTTCCCCCAAGACTCCTGATTTACTGCTGCGTGACACAGAGTTATAAAACCTTCCACTGCACGGCACTGACGTGCATGAGCTGCTTTTAACATCTCCCAGGGAGCTGCTTTTTAAAGGAGCCTTCTTTATACTGTGTGTTCTCCTCCAATTTCTTTGTGGCTCAGTGGTATTCGATATTTTTGATCAATAATCTCCTCGATACTGCTCCAGCAGGTGACACCAGCATCAAAGTTCTCTCACAGCCAGCTCCTGGCTGCTTTAATTTATATTTTTCTCGTTGTTTTTTTTACATTACAGATTGGAAAGGTGGAGACTGACAGTCTCCTATTCATTAACAATGCAGAATGGTCTGTAGTTTAAAGGTTCTAATTACCAGAAACCAGGAGTTTTTTCCCAGGAAAAGCTAAAACATCATCTGTTCTCACACACTGCTCCAATGGACTGGGTTTTTTTTCAGAACCACAGGAGATTTTAGCTTCAAACAGAAAAAGAATTAAATCMTGGAAATCAATAGCATCAATGGAGATGCTTCTGATTTTCACTGGTGCTAAGAAAATAATTTAATCTGCTAGGAATTTCTATAAATTATCAAAAAAACCCTCAAAGTTGGGAAAAAATCTCCAAGGTCATAAAATCCAACTTCCAAATCCACCTGTAAATCTGTGCTTTTGTTCCAGCTGGGACAATCACARGGAAGTTGGCCCAGGACTAGGGAGAAGTAGGAGCACCCTGCCCAGTGGAGATGCCCACAGACAAAGATAAAAGCCATGAAAAGATAGAATTTAAGGAAAAATAATTGGAATCACTGCATTCCAAGGTCACCCAACTAAAGCAGCTCTCAGGAATTTCACTGGAAGTACAAACTGGGAAGGAATCACCAAGGCCATGACCTGATGCACCCCCAGGTTGGCAGGAGTGACATTTTGATGCCTTTACAACCTGCCAGGGCCTGGCTCTGCCAGAAAGGCTCCATTGCTGAAGGATTCACTGAAGGATTAGGATCTCACACAGAAAGGTCAATTGCCTCTCCTTGCAGAAGACACAGAATCAGAGCTTTTGCCATTAAAGGCCAGGTCCTGACACTTTGGGCAGAACATTCACTCCATGATTAATGCCACTGGCTCCCTGGGGATTCGTGGAATACAACCCCAGCAAAGGCTCTGCACAYTCTGCTTTCAATGAAGTCCTGACTGAGTAAAATTCACTATTTCCAAGACAATGCATATTTCTATTGCAATAATTCCTGCAATTAGGGCATGTCGTCTGAACTCTCTCAAAGGTCAGGGGGGGTTGGCACCACAGGAGCTTTGACCTAAGTGCGGTGGTGCCTTGCACAAAACCAGTCTGGATTTAAGTTCCCTGCAGAAACACCCTTGGATCTCCCCTCCCCTTGCACAGGGTTAA